GCGGTGTTCTCCCCGGAGACCACCTGGCGCCCAACACTATTTAGTTCATCGCGTATCGAGTCTTGTGAATATCGAAATTTCTGGAGAGAGAATCATAGGGCGTTTTGTGTACGGTTCCCTACTTTCCGAATATCTTTTATCGGCTAATTTCTTAGTGGGATTTAATTTTTTTGGGGGAATAACGTCGCGTTAATTACAATGATCCTAAAACACTAAAATATACTATACAATAACCATGTTCGCAATAGATAACGCACGAAGGAAGTGGTGCCCTTGAGCCAGGTGGCGAGGAGGAGTCTACAATAACATTTGTCTTATAATATGTATTCACTTTCAAATGTATAACAGGGTTGGACGCATTAATTCAATTTACACTTTTACTGTGGATACATCGTACTGATTTAACATATACATATTATTTATTTTTTTTAGTACGTGAAATATCGTGAGTATCTGTTCACCAATTTTATTAGACTTTGAATGAATTACAGTTTTTCCGTTAATTCAGGCACAGCTTTAAATAGGTCTGCAATTAACCCGTAGTCAGCGACTTGAAAAATGGGAGCTTCGGGATCCTTGTTGATAGCTACTATTGTTTTAGAATCCTTCATTCCAGCAAGATGTTGAATCGCCCCAGAAATTCCAACGGCTATATAAAGGTCCTATAACATTTTTACATTCACATATTTAATAATAAAAGCGTTCACACAATTATCTGTTTCAATCGTACATGTCCACATAGTTAATAAAGAAATGACCGGGGAAACTATCTATGACCTAGAAATTTTGGCATAATTAGTGACTAGACAGGACGCATGTGTTACGTTTCTCGGACCCTACCATATTCTCGAAATCGTGTCACAATCGTGGCATGACACTTTGAGTACTTTCGGTTTTCACTGTTTCACTTATTCTGTTTTGAGAGTTATCACCGCATTCTTTCGGAAATTTTAAATTTGAAACTAAGCTGCGGAAAATAAGTCATAAAATATTATTAAATATTTATAATACTATAAGTTGTATTGAAGTTTTATCACGGAAAAGCATTAGGGTTACATCATATATTCATTATGAAGCGTTGAAAATATTGGAACATTATTTGAGGTTAATATGTAATTAAAGTATTACGTATTTTCCATGATGATAGTCCTTCAAGTTAGCATAAAATACTTAGATGGTACTACTCAATCGTGAAACTTACCGAACGGGATTTACAGCGCCATCACAGTGATAACCGAAACTACTCAAAGTGGCATGTCACGATTGTGGCACGATTTTGAGAATAGGGTTCCTGGTCGGGTGCTGTGTGATTTTCCTAGTTAGCGCCCAGATAGAAATAGGGAAAACTAACTTGTACCCGGCTAGGGCCTATATACAATTTCTCTTAAAGCAGTAAAATCTCCATATTCGCGGTTCCAGTATTCGCGGATTCCGTGTATTTGTGGACTCCTCAATACAAACATTTTCTGTATTCGCATCTTTGAGTTTTCCTGATTACAGACCTAAACATCATCTAAAATGTGTTTCGATAACTCAAAATACAAAGCTTTTATGCGTGAATAAAAATCGTACCCATGAAATATGACTGCTTTATAATATTACTCCTTAATACTTACTTTCTTGTTACTTTAATAAATAAATAGTTTAGTTTCTTATGTAAGTATATTCATAAATAATTTTATTGTAGAAACTATTTCTTATAGTAACATATAGGGTTAGGCAATTCAAACGTAACAGGTGAGTAAATCGCCCCATAAACTTGATTTCTATAGTAAAGCTAATGAATAAGAGATGCGTTAGAGCCGACTAGCACTGCAGCCATACTTATATTTACGTTTTGAACTTCTATCAGTATGTCACTCATTTTTCCGGAACCTAACCCCCCCACAAATATAGAGATTTTACTGCATTATATGAATAAATGTTTAAAAGATATCTATCTAGATGAAATGTAAATCTTAAACTCATCTTTAAGATGTCTAAATAATAAATTCTGCAGCGTTAGATGTCTTATAGACGAATTTTGGACAGTATGTATTGTCTGGACATAATTCGAATAAAGTTAAATAAAACGACTCATTAGACTTTTTATTTTACAGCACAGTCTCTTGACACACTTCCATTAGCTGTAGTAAAATAAACCAATGATCTCGCGTTCTTGTGCAATCGAAGAATTGTAGAAAAAGAGCTATACCGGAAGTGGTATGAATTTGTGTCATAAAAGAAAAGCGCCTTATATTTTAAGAAACACGTCTTTTTAGAAAAATTCTTAAATCTGAAAGTAACTATTAAACACAAGTTGTCAACATGAGAGAAATAAGTTCCTAATTTACATTCCGCTGATATCTTAAGTAATTTTTAGGGTTCTACAGTTGTTACGTAGTCCGTAGTGGCTAGCGAGGCCTTTAAATTTGATAACAAAAATTTAGAATTAACCAAAAGAAAAGGAACGAACAGAGGTAACGTGAATAATATTTGAGTGAATTCCGAGCGGTAAGAATGCACTCAATGGTGGGTTCGCTGGTCGTTTAAGGTGTTGAAACACGCCTTGCTATTCCAACGTGGATAGATATTCCCTGAAATGTTTAAGGATGGGTAATAGATATTTAAGACGCGAGTAAAATGTGAATTTACGATATATTGTTATAGATGATTTGGTAGTTTTCAATTGAATATTGTTATGTACAGTGTTTCGGTTATGAGAAATACTGGGATAAAAATTGTGAAATTCGATTACAAAACCTGACTGTATGTGAGGTTAAGGCGAAAAGAAATTTGGTGGAACAGAAAATTATCTAGTATATGCGTTACTTGGAAAGACTAGACTATGCAGCTCAATTTTGCCCGGTAACCGATCCAGCTTGATTACGAATATTACACCGGATCTAATACTTTAACGGTTAGAGCCACGAGTAACAATGTGCAGTCCGCTCTTTTGCGCGTGAAGCTAAACGATTTTCTGAGCGTCAGTACCATGACTTTGACTGCTTATATAGTCGTTTTTCGCTGATGCTCTTAGGTATGGTTAGGACCTTAAGAATGCACTCAACTAAGCAGCTGGGTAGGTGACACGGGCAATGCACTGGGTAACGTGCTGAGTATGCAATTCTATTGACTGTCGGCTATGTTATTATTCTGTTTCGGAATGATGACCGATATACGTAACAACACCTACAGTTCATAATAAATCGGGATAAAATTTTATAGGTAGATGCTTCTTTGATATGTAAACTCAGGCAGTAAAAAATTCGTTTAAATTTTAGGTAATCTTCCAATATATTGTAACGCAACAGAGCGTATTTTTATTTTATTTTATTATGGGCACGAACGCAATGTTTTTGTTTTGATTAGATAATACCCGATGATGGAATCCGCCAGGTGCGATTAAGCCAAAGGCATTCTGAGGGAAAACAAACCCAAGACCAAAACATTGCGGGTCCCTTTAAACTTTACGCGGGAAGATATTTTAAATCACCCGAAGTAGATAGTATAAGTGGGTCTCATAGATGGGGCAACGCAACAATAGAAGAAATTCAAAGTCAGCATTACGTACGCTCCGCGAGTATAAAAGCCGAGCGAAATGGCGATAAATATTCATTCGATCATTACACCTCCTACGGTGAAGCTCGAGACAGAAAAGTTCAGGATTTGAAAATAATTAAATAAAGGAGTTCTAATCCTCCCTGAATAGTCTGGACGGGTTCATTGGAGTCATAGCGCCTCCAAACGATACCTACCAGCTAAGGCGGGGACGAGAGGAATAAAAAGGGTTACGGGCATTGGAAAAACCACCCGACCACCTTGCCTCTCAAGTCTTCTATACCAACTTACCAACAGATACCTCGTCAGAGGGTGGATAGCACCACCGACAGCTGTACACGGTTTCCTAATCCAAACAACCACTGAATCACGAGACGACATTGGCGGACAACATTGCGTTGCCACACCATACTGAATCTCTTCCTAAAAAGTGTGATTGGTGACCAATATAGCATTGCGAACCATATCTCATCCAAATACCAGGTGACTGTGTGACATTGGCGGATAGCATTACGCTAGCTTAGCTATATGCCCCACAGGAATCATACCTAATACCTATTAAAACGATTCTTGGTAAACGACATAGCGCGGCAAGCTATAGGATCGGTTTAATAAATCCATGATCTACTCTTCCACGAGAGATAAGGATAAAAGATAAAATTGAAGTAGGACGGACACTTTCGAGCTTGACTCAGGGAACTGTAAATAATTAATTGTAACCAGATATACCGTGTCTTTTTAATGAACAAGAAAGAAGTTAAAAAGAATATAAACGAATTGGTTGAATCACACCCAAAAATCCTATTCGTCCGCCCAGAGCACGAGCTCAATTAACGAAAATCCTACGTCCATCACGTGGTGAAACATAGGGATTCACCACAGTGCACTAAAGGTGATACCAGTGCCCAACGTGAGGTACAGGGAGTAGGTAACAATATATAAATGAGTAATGAAAAAAAATGTCCGCGTACCCTATCGAATGGGGTATTGTGGGATAGGAGATTCAAAATCTTACTCAACACTTTTTTAAAAATTTTTGCGCCGCCCCATTCGTGCACCGTGATCCTCCAAAATCATTAACAGAGCCTCACCCTCCTTTATTTTTGTGACTCTTTGGTTTAAAAATCTGAAATAATTCTAAAATATAGAACTTAGTGAGAATTTTCAAGTAAAATTATGGTGGTAATTATAAAGCCATTAATTTAAGAAAAATCTGTTTTTAACTTGATAAGGTTTTATCTCTGCAGTTACATCTGGAAGAGAATCTTTATAAATCGCCGCCGTGACTTGTAAATTTCGACACCCATCATTCCCATTTCGCTGACAGGAAATCATACTAAGAATATTATATAGCGTTAGTTTTCTCAGAGCATCGGTTGATCATTTTTCTAGTTATGTTTCCTATACGGTATAAACAGTTCTCGCTTATGTAGTTTTCGCGTTGCTCTCGTTATATCCAGAAAATTATTTTGATTTTGCTCTCTATTTCCGGCACTATTTAGCTCACACTTACTGCGACTCATCTACCTCAACCTAGCAGTCTGAGCGACCGTGCATTTCTGTAACCGTCCGCTCCCGTTCGTGCTTCCAATTGCGTTTACTAATTTTACGCGACTCCAAAGAACAGCACCTACGGTTGCGTTTCTCGATTTTACGCATCCCCAAAAATTGACAAACTCCCTTAATCTATCGTCTCTTCTTATGGGTTCCGTCAGTGCTCTCGTTTTTCCGGAGTTGAAACAATTTCACCGCAACTCCCAGGTCATATTGGCTCATCAGTTCCCGATGAAAAAAGAACTGGTTGGCACCAAACTGGCATGCGGATGCATGGACGAAGGGTGGACGGCCGACGGTGACGTAGGTTAGTTCTCGGATTTTCGTTATCAGTGTCAATTTAAGAAAATACATTATAACACTCTGGATAATTTTTAAGTAACAGAAAGATATTTTAAAGAAGAGAGTATCTGGACGTAATCTGAAGAAAAAAATAACACAACCTGCCGAATTTTCTGATCTCGAAGAGTACGTTTTGAGGGGGTTCAAACCGTGTAGAGACAAAAGCGTTAATGTAAGAGAACTGTTACTAAAAGAAAAGGCGAGGAATTTGCTAGATCACTTGGTCATGAAAATTTCAAAGCGAGTAATGGTTGGCTCGATAAATTTAAAAGAAGGCAGTACATCGTTTTTAGAAAAATCTGTGGCGAAAAGGCTAGTGTTAATGATGATCTTTGCAATCAGTAAAAAAACGGGTTAATGGACTTATTAAAAAAAAAAATTATAAGCCAAACAACATTTTCAACGCAGACGAAACAGAATTTTTTTTCAAATCTGTACTGGACAAACGTTGACTTTAAAAAATAAAAAGTGCTAACGCGAAAAGCATACAGAAGAAAGTCACATTTTTACTGGCTTCACGTATGGCAGGAACTGGAAAACTTAAACCTGTTTTGTTCCGTTGAATTACCATACCAATAATAAAGCTTTGTTCGCGACAAATGATTCGGGGTTATAAAAAAATGTATTATCTGATGGAGGTTACTTGACCTTGGAATGATTTTGAAACGCTGCAGTATGGTTGTATTGAGAACTCACGAGGTACTGTGGGAATGTGAATCTGGATCATGGAAATTGATCGATCACTGATTTTAATCGAGAGTAAGCCTTTATTCTCGTCGCGGATTTTGACGAAACAGGCCGGTACGATGCTTACAGTATGTACACTGAGCGGCATTAATGGTGTTCCAGAGAGAAATTCCACGCGTGAGTGAGACGCTCCTATAAGCGCTACAGGGTCTTGCTACGTCACCACTAACAACGAGTGAGAGGGTCTTATAGGAAACCGTTGCTAGGAATGAGAGAGACGCTTTTAAACAGGACTGCGCCTACTCGTGGCAGAAATAGTGTTCGGAGCGAAGGGAAAAGGCTACTACCACTATGCTCCGGCCTGGCTTGCTTCTAGGCTGCTGGTGGCCCCCACTCTCACTTCGCCACTGTTACCCTAACTTCTCTCTTGAACACCATTAATGCCGCTCAATGTACACTACCGGTCAAAAGTTTAAGTTCACTTGCTGTATTTTTTAATTCTACACAAATAAGTCGTCTACTCAGTAAATTTTGTCAAGCACGTGCGTCTTACCTATAACAAGTCGATTACACGCTACTGGTCAGAGTGTAGGAGGGAGTTTGGCGCATTTGGGAGACGCGTAGATCGAGCACAAACTTGTTATGACGGGTTGCATTCTCTCGATGCGTCTAGTGCATATTACACGTAACATCTGAGTGCTTGAGAGCTCTTTCCAAAAGTTATATTTCCAATTGCTTTTCATATTTTTCTTAAAAAAAGGTAAGTAGAACATTTTTCATATTGAAAATCGTTACTGTTAAAGAAAAATGTATATTTAAATTGATGTAATTCGACAAACATCATCTTATTATTGAAATGTGAAGAAAACTACATATTTTATGTGTCAATCGTAGAGAAATGGGTCGAAAAACAGAGCTGAGTGTAGAGACACGAGCAGTCATTGTGGCATTACACGAAGAAGGTTATTCAACGCGAAAAATTGCTTCTAAATGTGATGTTTCTCAAACTGCAGTCATGGGAGCGTTACAAAGAAAGCGAGGTGAACCTAAACTTTTGACCGGTAGTGTACATTCGCGCAGTCTTGTAATCCAAAGAGCTTCGGAAATCGCTGAAATCGATTCTGAACATTAAATTTCGAAATTTAAAATAACAAATACTATAAAAGTTCTAAGTTTCTGGACTCCTGTAAGCAGGCCTTGCGGGCTGGCTCGCGACGTCATCTACGCTCCGTTTAAACGCGTTCTGATTGGTCGCATTACTGCAACTTCAATCTTGATTATCTCAAAATTTTGATATATGAAATAACAAATGAAAATACACGTATTCATTAAAATTTGAAAAGGAATGTAACGGTGTTACTACAGTGCGTTTCATAACGAACACCCTGTATACATGGCTCCATAAATCACTGTTGCAGTAAGGCTGCGTAGCTAAGGGAGTAAGCGCTGAACTAGTTCACTGCCAATCCGGTTTCGATCCCGTTTACCAGATATTTTCTTTTTAATTTAAATGTTCCTTATGAAAGAACGTTCATTAACGTAAAATTTAATTAATTCGTAAATTATATTTATTTCCTTAAACTTTCACTGTCTAAAGACTTTATTTCCATTTTACTTAAAAAAAATATGATCTTTTTTTTTAATTTGTTACCTTATATAATTCATTTTACTCGATGTAAATTAATTCAAATAAATCATAACGATATAAAATAGAATCAAAGTCTATAAATAGTGAACATTTAAGGAAACAAATATAATTAAAGATTAAATTAATTAAATTTTACCTTAACGAACGTTCTTTCATAAGGAGCATTTAAATAAAAAAAAAACATATATGGTAGACGGGATCGAACCCGAATCAGCAGCGTACTAGTTAAGCGCTTACAATTAGTCCTTGAGCTACACCGCCTTACTGCAACTACGATTTATAGAGCCTATACATATAGAACTTCCGCGGTAATTTAAAATCGATTTTTCTCAACAATGCCGAAAAATTGGGTCCTACCATTTTGCTATTGTACTCTTGGGTTACTGAACTACAGTAAAGACAAAAAATCCAATTCGGTGACCCCAAGTTGGCGCCCTCCCCTTGTGAATGAATGTCCCTGAGTATTTTGTTATATACTGTGACGAGGCGCTCGCCTCGCCACAACCCGAACGCAAGGCCCCGAGCCGCCGAGGAATCTCCCGAACCCAGCCGAGTGGTAACGGAGGTGCGCGAGCGGCCGGGGACCGCGCATTGAGCCTCGTGTGAGTAGCAGGGACGGACGGCGTGTAAAAGTGCAGTTAAGACGAAAGATCGAAAGAGAGGGAGAGTGAGAAAGAGAGCTGAGAGTGGACAGCGGACGTAAGGAATCGAGAGATCGTGCCAGGAGAGGGAGAAAGGAGAAGAAGAGGTTGAACGGACCGGGAAGTGAGGAGACGAAGGAACGAGGAAGAACGAGAGGGATTGCCCGCAGCGGAAGGCTCACGAGATCACCAGAGGTGCACCACGTACGTACCTTATACTTCATCGGCCGCAACGAACCCGACGAACAGACTGACCTCACCCCCACACACCCACACACCACATTTCCCTTCCACACACCTTCCATAGGTTAAGGCGCACGACTAGGGTAAGATCTTTTCTTTTATAATAATTAGATTTAAGAATAAACTGCCATATCTTTTAAACTCTCGGTGTTCCTTCGCTTCCCCCCTCCCTTCCCTCACAATACGTACTTATCTTCGTTTACAAAAATAAAAAATGCAACAAGCCCAATATTTTATATAGTTGCATAGAGTCAAGTTGCAATCTTAGAAATGCGTTTAGTATATCGGCACGCGTGGGCTGACGGAAATTATCTTATAAACTCGCGTGGCAGTCTAAGTATTGCATAAATTTTCCGTCGATTACATGTAATGAAGTGTTTAAAAGTGAAGTATATTAAATACTATTTTGTAACAAAAATGAAGGTTCAAAACTTTGCAAAATTTCGTAAGCGTACAAGAAATGCTGCCAGACGGAAGTCCGAATATGAAGAGGTGGTTTTTGTAAAAAATGCAACCCAATGTTATTGAAACGAGTAACCTTCTTAATTTACGCATTCAAAACATTGTTGTAATAATTGGAAAGGCAAATTTAAGCAAGATAATTTTATAATTTCACATCATCAGAATCGAACAAATTGCATTTTTGTATTATTCGTCATAAGCATTATTCTCCAATTAGTTTCATTTTAATACCTCAACAGGAGATATGCAAAACTGCGAAACTATCGTTGGAGGTACACAACTTTGATTGTGTCCTTGAATATTTCTTTTTCCACTAATAAAAAAACACATCACTTAAATTTCAATGAAGAATAACATATCTCAAGATGAACAAAATGGAAAAGGGATACCAGAAACGATTTCCTTGCTTACAACCACCTGCTCTTATATTATTCCATTATGAAAATAAGTAATAGTATACAGGGTGTCCCACGCAACTGGAACAGGCTGTACCTCCTAAACGGTTGGGAATAGAAGATGATGTTATGAGTGAAAGTTAAATGGCATCAGACGGTGCATAATATGCAACTAATTTTATGCACTTTTGTGTATCGGTGCATTAGAAAAATGCAACTGCACTTTTTTTTTTAATGGAAACCTATATTTTTGACTACACCAGTTGATGCAGTTTCTTATGATCTACATAAAAGTACTAACATACTTATGCTCTAAACTTATGCGTTAGGGAGTTATCGATGCTAAAAGTTCTCTGAATTGTTTTGGTCTCTCGGCATGTGTTCCGGAGTACCTACATTATGTTCCATCACATTCGGCAAGAAATATCCAAAATTATGGAAAACGACATCAGGAATGTGTTGCGCGACGTCAAAAAGCGGATGGAGAAATGCTTGAATTGCAATGGAGAACCGTTCGAACACTTGTTATAACGTAAGCACTTAGCAAGACATGCCGAGAGACCAAAACAATTCAGAGAACTTTTAGCTTCGATAACTCCCTAACGCATAAATTTAGAGGATAAGTATGTTAGTACTTTTATGTAGATCATAAGAAACTGCATCAACTGGTGTAGTCAAAAATATAGGTTTCCATTAAAAAAAAAAGTGCAGTTGCATTTTTCTAATGCACCGATACACAAAAGTGCATAAAATTAGTTGCATATTATGCACCGTCTGATGCCATTTAACTTTCACTCATAACATCATCTTCTATTCCCAACCGTTTAGGAGGTACAGCCTGTTCCAGTTGCGTGGGACACCCTGTATATAGAAGTACTACATACCGGTGCCACAATCTTCCCGGTTTGTCCCACTTGCAAGTCATTAGGTACAAAACCAGCGTCAACAGCAGCTCGAGATGCACCGACAGCTGCATTTAGTTTATCAGCCAATACATAGAGTAGCTTGAAGTTATCGCCAGATTTCATTCCACGTCCTCCCGAAATAACTATTCTGGCAGATGTAAGGTCAGGTCTGTCAGAGTTACTAAGTTCTTGTTTAATAAATTCGACTGAATCAGTCTTATAATCTCCAGTTGGCGCTGGTTCAATTGCAGCATTACCACCTTCTAATGATGCTGGTTCAAATGATGTGCCTCTAACTATTACTACTGATATAATATCTTTCACCTTTATCGTTTGAAAGGCATTCCCAGCATAAATAGTGCGGATAAAAGTATCTGGAGATTTAATTCCAATAATATCACTTACTGGTGACACATCCAGTTTAGCTGCAACCTATAATTATAATGTGCATTAATAATCATTTTTTAAATCTATACTAATGACTTTCACTTAACATTTTCAAAAAATCAGTATTTAATGCGTCTAAAAACGATAACACATAAAAACATTAAGAATCTAAAATGAATATAAAAAATATATCAAACTTTTAATATACACTGAACTAATATTTACACTACTTTCAAGGGTAGTTATTACTGATTTCTAAAACATTATAATATAGTACTATTAAATTGTATCAAATAAGAATAAGAGATTATGAAATGAGTAAATTAAAAAATATTAAAGTTAACAAAATTGAAATATAAAATTTCAAATGAAATAGTGAAACGAAATAAAATTTTGTGTGAGATTAAAGATTTCTGCCCTCCCAGGTCAGTCGGACTATTCATAATATGGGATAAACTGATGTAACTAGACTACTCTTACTAATATTTCAAATTTTCCAACCTTTCAACCCACATGTAATTCAATCAATTAGTTATGTTAAATTCCTGAAAATCCAGACTTAGGTATTGGTTATTTCAAATCTTCACAAAATATATATCACTTTAAAAATATCATTCGATATTTTAACTTAAATGTATTGCGTAAAAACAATAATAACAATAAATGTAGTACTATTTCAATTATTTCAATTAATAATTAAAAAATTAAAATGTTATAACTTATTAATTTCTTATATTTTTACTATGCTGGAATTACAATTAACAAATTACCCTAACACTTAAAAAATGCTAATTATGTTTATTAACTTTATACAAACTATATATGAAAACATTATTCAATATCATGAATTTCATGTATAACACACTTCGTTAGTAATGTTTTAGGATATATATTGTAATGTATACATCGTTAATAGTACAGATCACCAATATAGAACTTGGCTTACCTGAATAACCTTATACATATAAACAATAATATTAAATAGGGATCGTGACGCGAGTGAATACCGCACTCCTCAGGTCACCTCGCCCACAATCTCAGGGTATACAAAGGGCACCAAAATCAGAGTCGAGGCATTCGGTCATTAGCGTTTAGCTAGTCTACAGCAAGTATAAACGAGCAAACCGTTTCGAGCAAAGGAAGCAAACCGACACCTCTCAACTTCTTTTCAGTGCATTTAGACTGGGACGCTACAATGTCTTATTATCGTCACTTGTATCGCTTCCGTCGACATATGCTGTTCATTTTATTAGTATTATCATTAACCACCTATCATACAATCTATAGTAGAATTTTTCTATTCTTCTCGTCAACCCTTTGACCACATCCAAAGCTATTGGAAGCTGCTCATTGGCATGACCATTAACCTAGCCAACAATTTAACTCGGTGACCATATTCAGGAATATCCGATATTGTTCACCGGCGCAACTTTTATGCAATCTGAATCAACCCTTTTGACCACAGTCTATATTGTAGCAGATATTTATTGGCACGATTTAGGGCACATTAACAAATTGACTCTTGGACCATATTCTAAGAGCCAAGCATGTTCCTCGAAACGACTCAATATTCTTAGTTTCTCAGAACGGCCTTAACCCTATCATAAATTACGGGGAACTACATTAATAACGTTTATCTCATCATGCAACTAGAAGTACCTAATAGGTTTCTGTATCCCGATATATTTTCGTTAACGTATTTATATCTCTTTATAAAACTTTAATACTATATATAAAACTTTAACCCTTTCGCTACGGACGGCGACTATAGTCGGCGGCCGCGAGACCACCTACCCTGACTTCGTTGGTAGCACAGAATCTACTACTTTGTTAATATGTAAATTTCTGAATACCCACAATATACTTATTTTTGTGTTTTTCTATATAATATGAAGAAACAGTTACATAACTCTTAAAAAAGTATACATACAAGACAATTCCAAAGTGCCATTGAAAGACGTAAGCGCAGTGCCCCGTTCAGTGGCGCTACTCCCGCGGAACAGACTGCCGTAGCGAAAGGGTTAATACTCTAATACTAACATCCAACATCTGTCAGGCTGAACCTACATTAACACTCTCTGTATACCATTAAGGACAATATATTCTTTTGTTTCATTATTTTTGTATACAAAATCTCATCTTTTTCTTTCACTCCGCCTATTATCCTGACGAAAATTCATAAAAACCGATATTGGCTCACACCCGCCTAACTCACACGAGCTGGAAAACCACCTCGTGTATAGAAGAAAACGGTTACAATATACATATATAATTATTTTGAATGTTTTGATTACATTATCCATTACTTTGTTATCTGTTCTTATGATATTAAGTATACAAAAAATAATACTGACCCTTGGCAATAAAGTTTTACCAAATGCACTAGCTCCAGCTAAAATGTGACTGAAATTAAATTGTTTTTGAGTTGCTAGAATTAGAGGTGTTAAAGCCTCTGCACTAAGTCCTGTAAATGCATCATTCTCAGCCACAAGAACCTTGGTTACACCATTTGCCTTACTCACATCTTGAACAACTGAACTACATTTCACACCAGCAATTAGTACTGTGATATCACTGCCAATTTTTTTCGCAGCTGTTAATACATTTTGAGTAATTGGCAGTAACTTTTTATTATTGTGTTCAGCAATAACCAAAGTTGATTGAAATCGTTGATATAATATATGAAGCTGGAAAAAATAATACTTACGTAAGATATTAAATTCATAACTATCAATTCATAAAGAAGTTGTAAATTGTATTGCAGTGCAAATAATCCTCATCTATTTTGTAAATACAATTCATAAATTACATAAAAATGTTTCCTAATTAAACAAGTCATGAAAAATATTGTACTACCCAGCAAACACTTTCATAAAGGTAACATAATAGTAATTAAAACCACTTATAATAGATGAAGAAACATGGTTAGTACATGCACGTTAAATGCAACAAGTAATTTTCTATCTAATAAATATTACCAATATGTCATTCTGATGTAACGTGTTACTAAAACACGTATATTATTACAATAATATAATAATATTACAATGTAACTGCAGTGTATATAATTCAGATGTTTACTGGAATAGTACATCTATGTAGTTCTAATTTCATTTATCATACAATATTTAGATTCAGTGTTATAGTAATATAACATACCATAACTATATCAAATATCAATTTTAATGGGAATAACATGGAGATATTGTTATTGTGACAATGATAGTATTATAACATCACAATGTTACCTTACCACATTATGCATATGCAATGTATAGTAACAATCTGTGTTGCTGTGTATGATTTTAGTTATTATTACTACATAAGTAATATTGGCTGTTTTCTACCAGAGTCAAGTGAGAGATGAAATACGTGTTGCATATCTACGCATTAGTGAACTATAGATATACATAGATACAATGTATTTCAACTCATTCAATTCTCGTAAAGACATAGCCATTGTAAACTACTTTATTCTTGTCATATACAAAATAAATAATTTATCGAACTCTATAATATCTTTACTTACTTGCACATTACGTCTAAAGATTCTAGAATAAGTAGCAAGCATGTTTAATCAAATACTTTCTGCTTTGTGTAATAATAATAGGTTTCCAATGCAAACGAACAGCACTAGGAAAGTCACCTTCACAGCTTTGTAGAATAATTGAGAACGATTCATATCACAGTAAAATCCCTGAACTATACTCAACATGAAACGCGCCCACTGTAGTATAAGCGCGAGCCGAAAGAGAGATGGCCAATATACTGTGGGTGTGTTCCGTAACACACTATATGCACTTACAGCATGGCGCTGATAAAGTATGCTGTGAAAGTGTTCCGAAATGATGTGACGTAGTATGAAGCACTGGCAGCAGAGATGAGTAGGGAGATTGCCAATGAGCCTGTTTTTGGTGAAGGCAATTTTTCTCTGGTTTCGGCGCGCCACCTTAGTGGAGGGCCCTCGAAGCAGTTCCACGTTTTTGATTGCTCGTGTATATATAGTAATAATACGCGTGATAATCTGGAGCTGTGTTTTGGCGTGTCGACGCGCCACCTGAACGAGACTCTCGAACTAGTTCCACGTTTTTGATTGGTCGAATGAATTCGTATGTTCCTCGAGATCCACGATTTTAAACCGGGTGAACACTCAAATAGGGAGACTTGTATCCAACTTTTTTTTTACAGGATATTACATAAACCGTAGTAATAAGGTAGTCAATACTCTTAATAATCATATGAAGCTCTGCAAATAATAGAGTAAGCAAATAAAACTTAAAAAAAACTCTCGAACGTGGGTAACTACACAATTACAAGTTTGCTAAATAATATACCACAATGACTCGATAGCACACGTGCTTGATGCTGGATTAACGTCCGAGAGTCTCGAGTTCGAAACTCACGTCTCAACCCTTTTATTTTTTTTCTTAATTATCAACTATGCTTATTGGTTCACCTAGTTAACTTAAGATTCATTAAATATATGATTATATTAATCTACAAATATTGTATTATATTACATCGTATACATCCAATAAATTGGTACATGAATCAGCGAACGTTTCTTTTTCCCGAGAGCCTACCTGTGACAAACACTTATGGTAGGCTGTTTCCTTTTTTAATAGCATAAATAATATTCAGAAGGATAAAGAAGGCATTACGGAAAATTACCAAAAACAAAAATGCACTTACAAATCTCGGGCATAAAAATAATAATGAGCATATAAAAATGAACCAATTATTTTCTATAGTGAGATGAAACCAATAATGTATCTGGTTGGGGATTTTTTTTTCATTTAATTTTTACCATTCAAGGCTATGTAAAGGTAACATTTTAAATACATCGAATTATCAGA